AAGAGCATCAAGACCAAATCGTAAAAATTATTCGAGAGAAATCAGAGTCGAGACAAAAGAAAGATTGTCTTTCTTAAACAGAAACACTTCGAGAGATCGATTTGTGCCTTCAGTTCAATGTCAACAATATACAGAAAGTGAATTGTGAATTTATTTCACTTAATATTTTTTATAATTGAAAACTGTTTATAAATATCAATTTTTATAGTTTCAGTTTTTAATTTAAACTTAATATAAAAAAATAAAAATAAAAATAAACAATTGATGATATATAATGTTATAGTTTTTGTTAATATATTTAATACATAAATAAATTAAAATAATTAAATATTCAAGATATATTATAATATAATATATTTTTGTAAGTAAAATAATTATAAATAAAAACTTGCTATTGTGTTTATCAAAAATATTTAAATAAACTTTTGTTGAAACTGAAATAAAAAAATACATTCTTGTGTGAGTTTATAATAATAAGAGATAATATAAATATCATATGAAAAAATAATAGATAGTTCATTCTTGTTGACATTTGACATAATCTGATTTATTTGTAATACAGTGTATTCAAGTTAAGCTACTACAAGTAAATAATTCGTGTATATACAACAATAAAATCAAAATTTTCACTTGCAAGAAATGATCGTTAGAGTTCTGAATACAATGAACAATACAATAGCGATATTTATTGGTGTTATATAAACAACATGTTTTTGTTTGTATTAATTAGTTGTAACTAGACAACAAATAATGTAAGCACGTTTGTTTTTATAATTGTTTTCAGAATCTTCAAATTGTCAAAAACAGCAAGTACATTTGGATTTGACAAATACAAAAAATACAAACTTAACACAATTTAAGTTTCATCTGCTGCAACAACACGTTTTAAATTTAATTGTTTGTACAAAGTAAACGACATAAATAAATTTAGCAATAGATGGCAACAACTCCATTTTTGTAAAACTAATATTGATCAATTAAAAGTAATTGACAAATTGTTAAAATAAATATCAAAACAAGATACATTTAAACAATACATTCAAAAAACTGTTTAACAATGATCTTATTATTTCAGTTGTTTTCAATAATTATATAACAATAAAAATGACGTGGATGTTGTATATATTAAACCTTTAACACACTTTTGTCGTTTTATTCAATTGTTGATATATACTTATGTATATATAAAACAATTTATATAAAATAAAAATGATACTTTTAAAATAAACAAAATTACATTTTAAATTTAAGAACTTTATCAAACTTAACTCGAATAACCAAATTAAATTTAATCAATAATCAACAGAAATAAATTGTGCGATTTAATATTTGTATTATTGTTTTTTGAGCATGTTCTTTGTGTTTCAGAAAATCATTGCTCTAAGTTTATTACATGTATAAACTTTATACCTTTATAAAAATTTATTGCAATGCTTTAATAAATTATTAACACTTAACTGATAGCAGTTATTAACAAAATATTTGTATATTGTTGTATATATATAACAAAGAAGTAATTTAAATATTTAATGAAATTAAACCAAAAAGTGATCAATATACACAAATATACCAATTTATACATACATACAATGTATTTTTTCCAATACCAAAGTTAACATACCAAGTTGTGTATGCAACGTGATCTTTAAATACACAATGAACAGTAATGATTGATGCTATGGTTTTTATATGTATATTTTAAATTAAAATTGATTTTCTTTTTGTAAATATCGATCTATATTAAAAATGATTATATAAATTATATAATATAATCGATACGTTTTTTATAATAAATCAATTTGAATACACGTCTTTTATTAACCACATTATACCACAACCATTTCCTATCTTCTAATTTCCCGTTTCATTGACATGTTACTGTGTCTTGTTTTAGATTTAACATTTTTCATAAAAATGTAACTTTAAATATGAAATAAACATTGAATTTATTGGCCAGTTTTTGTTTTGCCTGTTGAGTTCTGACTCTGCCACATACTTAACCACATGTTTATATTCACATTTACGAATAAATAGTCATTTTCAACAACCAAAAACACAAAAAATATTTAATATTTTATGGTTCGATTATGGTTTGTTTTCATTAAAAACTCTATTTTCAAGTAATAGTGATTCACGTTAAAATATTCTTTTTCGAATCAGCTAGTCTACATGGTTGGTTAAATATGTGAAATAACATCGGGCGACAACAACGAAATGATGAAGTGTCAAGTGTAATATAACAAAATATTTTTAATGAAAATATCATTACGATTTATTTTATGATCAAGAAATCATGGGACTGCGTAAATACGAAAACAATTTCTTGCTACAAAAGCTCCACATTATAAGTGTCAACAATGTGATATAAAAATACAGGAAGTAATCAAAATTAACTTAAAATGTGCACAACGTAATAGCATGCGTCGATTTGAGCATGCCCGATAAAAATTGATTGTATGGCTGGTATTTTTATTTCTGGAAATAGTATTTTATTTTTATTTGTATAAACCGAATTCAATTTTAATACAATGTTTTTACCTTTTCTGTTTTTCTGTTAAAAGCCATTAAACTATTAATGGCTTTATTAAACAAATCGGGTCTTGTGTTTTTTTTTGATTTTTTGCATTTGTTTAATTTAATATTTCGGGAATTTAACTTTAATTTATCAATTACTATTGAATTATCACTTTTTTTCTGTACTATATTTGATTGTTATTATATGGTTAATTTTTAAGTTTTAATATTATCATAATACTTATAAAATAATAAATATAATATAATACATTTTTACATAAAAAATAAAATATATTTTTAGATGGAGAATATAATATGGTATATTAATAATTAAAAATACAATTGTTAATAACTTCTGTACGGCTACGCCACGTATTTCCCTCCTTATGTTTTTTATTTTGCCAAACAACAAAAAAATGTCTAACTCTGGACTATACTGTATTGTTTTATTCTTTATTTAACTAAATGGTTAAAAAATTGTATTCATATTGTTCTTCTTTTTTTCTAAAAAGACCAAAATTATTATAATATCTAATTGAGTTAAACTATTAAATAACATGAAACAATTTATAACAAAAAATCTATTTAAATATAGTTTATTAATCATTAAAAATGGTTAATACAGATACAGGAAAAACCAGGGACCAAATCATAAACCAGGGACCAGACTAAATTAAGCTGTTTTATTTTTGGTATAAAGTTCTTTTGTTAAAGAAAAATAAACAAATAATCGGGGTTTTGGAGGATATGTTGGTTTATTTTCAAAAACCAGGGACCAAGTATTAATAGACACACTGTTTTTTTGAATAAAATTGTAAAAACTATAAAATAAGAAACTCTTAATTAATCATTTGAAGTTGTCTCATTTGTTAATGCCCAGCCGAGCCAAGGTTAAGTTTGTTTTTTATATTGATTTATCTTCTGTAGTTGAATACTTTTAATAATCATCAATAATTTGTTAAATGTCTAACATTCCAATAATTTGTTTATTTATTACTTTATTTTCATTTAATACTGAACGAAAAGTGACTCATTGAATCGACCGAGTGAATAGAGAAGACTACAACATCTTCTTTGAAAAAATGAATGAACGATTTAATTGAATGGTTGTGTTGAAGTTAAACAAGGTTGAACAAAAGAATAATATTTTATAATTTAATAAAAAATAATAATAAACTTACGATTCTAACTCACATTAAGCTGTTGTTTATACATATTTTATACAACACATTCATTTTTTTCATCCCGAAAAATAACCGTTTTTAAGACCAAATAATAAGAAAATTACACACTTATTTATATATTTGCCCGTTTTATTGTATAAAATCCGCTTAATATCCAATAGCTAAAATTAGTCTGGTCCCTGGTTTTTCCTGTGGTCCCTGTTAATTCCGCTATCTGTAATTATAAAGTTTTTTTGTTAATCTTTTTGAATTGAAAATATTTATCAAAAACAGTAAAATTTGATATATTTAAAAAATATTCGAATGCTATCTTTTTTTCTTTTTTTAATAAATTGTTATTTTTCTTCTTTACTTTAAAAATAAGTACAAAAAGAATATCTTTTTTGATCTTCTATTTGTGAGGAAAGTATTTTTCATTCAAATATAAAAATTAAATAAATCACATTAACAAGAAGTTTTTTTTTGATGCATGATCATATGGCTATTAACTCACCTTGGCATAAAGTAACTCACTTTAACTATTTAAAATTAAATATTCGTCGTTTTACTATAAAAAAACTATACTCATCAAAAAAAACTATGTTTAGTATATCCATAGTTCAACAACTATATAAAGTTTGTAAAATTTATTTAAAAAATAAACCATAATTAACTATATTTATAATACTCGAAAAATAGAAAATAAATAAATGGGAAAGAAAAATTTATTTGGTACAAATAGTATCCCAAAACACAATATTAAAAATTTGACAAAATTTACATTTACCAATTCAAATTTAATCATTTTGAGTTGTTGTACAAATTTTGTATAAACTATTGGGCAACAAATTT